GATGCATAAAACTGTAGGATTAAAGTCTGATACACATTTATGTTTTACCTGACCACAGCAGAAGCGTCTGGAACATCTGACCTCTGTGACTTCCCTCAGAAAAATCTTTCTTTTCAACTTTATCAAGTGCAGCATGTGAGAGGTATTTCTATAGACTGCAGTGATACTGAAGGTTCGGACTGTCAGGTCTCATTTTAATGACTAATAACTGTCTGTTAATCTGAAGTGTTTACAGACTCAGCAGAGTTAAAGGGACTGTTCCCCTCAAAATCAAAAACTTATTTTCCCTCTTACCTGTAGTGCTGTTTCTCAGTCTGGATTGTTTTGGTGTGAGTTGCAGAGTGTTGAAGATATCGGCCGTAGAGATGTCTGCCTCCTCTCATTTCTCACATCTGAAAAACTCAACAGCAATGTCTCTTTACAGAAATCATGACCTGTTTACCGGAGATAATCCAGAGACCTTGTTGTGAGCAGTGTCATGTGGGAACTATTTTCTTTATACTGAACTACACCAGTATTTACTTTGTTGACAAAAACTATGAGCAAGATTTTTCTTCAACCTTTTTTCCATGACAAAAACGAGACGATGACGAGCTAAAATAGATCTTGATATCAAAAACTGAGACAAAATATAAGTTTCATTTTCTTTAAGATATTTTTTGGGCCATTTTGCCTTTAATGGACAGGACAGGTAAGCGTGAAGGGGGGAGAGAGAAAGAGGGGGGATGACATGCAGCAGAGGGCCACAGGCTGGATTCGAACCCGGGCCGCTGCAGCAACAGCATAATTTCATTTTCGTTGACAAGATGGTGACGAAAATGTTCGTGGTGGACTATCGGCAACTGAAAGCCGAGAACGGTTGTGATTGTCTGTGGATTTTCTTGAGTAACCAGGTCAGGATTTCTTAAAGGAGACACTTGTGTTGAGTTTTTCAAACATATTTTGGCCCTTGGAGCTCCACAAGCTGAGTGACATCTGGTTCCATTATACTGGAGAGAAGGCAGACATCTCCAACACTTTGCAGCTCACACCAAAACAATCTAAACTGATAAACAGCACTGCAGGTAAGAGGAACAATATGTGTTTTTGATTTTGGGGTGAACTGTCCCTTTAAGCAAATTTTGTATGTTGAACTTTCAGTTGACGAAGTTGGACTCACAGCAGAGGGAATAAAAGCATTTATTATGGAGACCGTCAGCACTTTTGTTATAATAGATGTCGCCCAGTGTCACGGTTTCATTTTCAATTCATCTGTGAGATATTACTGCTGAGAGGCTCCGGGGAGGCAGAGAGCTCTCCTCACCTCTTGTCAGTGTGGAGGTGTGAAGTGGCTCTGTGTAACACCAGGGGCAGTGTCATCTCATCAGCTGGATATGAAGAGGGAGGGAGTTCAGCCAGTGTATTCTCTCTTTTATTGCTTATTACTCTTGTTTTATTGATGGAAATTGACCGCTGATGGAGTCTGTGCACAAGAGCGCAGCATTTTAGGTTTTACAGAGTCAATATTTTCTTTGCTTTGAAATTCAGTGTTGGAGGTGCATTAGCTTTTAGATTAAATGGATGTTTTGTTGTTTTTTTTTTTATTTTGTTTTTTTTTTCAAGAAAGATTGTAGGAGGTACTTAACTATATTCATTTGGTGCTTCTCAAAGTCAAGGATGTTACCTTGGAAGGACGGGTCCTTCATAGTCAGGTCCTGCACAGGTTAGGCGAGACTCCCTCCAAGCATTGACGAACACACACCGGAACAGGCTCGCAAGTGCCCAAATGTGCTTCAATGACGAGCCCTGCCCTGCCTTCAATTCCAGCAAATCGTGCACAAAAAATGGGTGCGTAATGCCCACTAAAAATACACACATGTATCCTTGAAAAATTCCCTGAAGAAAGGACTCAGGATCTTTGACATTAGAGCAGATCTTCGGCAGGATTCAATGACATACCCTCCTTGAAATTCAGCCGTTTAGGATCCTTCCTTGACTTTGAGAAGCACCAAGTGTGTTACCTACAGGTCAGTCAGGAGAGATTCGTTCTGAAAGAAGAGAACATTTATTTAGATGCTGATGGTGGAGATGAGATGAAAAGGGAGCTGAGGATCTGGATGTGAAGAGGAGTGGGCTTTTGATGAGCTCGTCCTGGGCTCTGGATAAGGTGACTGGAGGTGACTGGGGTGCAGGAAGGCATGACAATTCCACCTGGCATGACAGCTGACAGGAGCAGAGGAGAACAGATTTAAAGTTTGGCAGCAGCAACATGATTGGCTGAAGGAGATCGTGACAAAGTTTGATTGGCTAAGCTGGAGAGGGAACGCCCATAATCAGCTGATTGGAGGAAGCAGTGGGAGTGGGATAGATGGATACAGCATAAAGAAAGTCTTTTGATTGAACTTACTCTAAGCTTCATTAGAAGGTGTTCGGCTCGTCCTCAGTTTAGAGAAGCAGACAGAAGCACCGCCACAGAAGCTAAGCAATGTACTGCTGTGGACGAGGGCAGCAGTGAAACTGTATGTATTTAGCCACCTTAAAAAAATCAATCAGTGTAATCCAGACTCAAATCTAGAAAGATTTTGAGTCTGGCCCTCACCGATACACCCTACCTACCCAAGGCGCGGCACTAACTGAGGCATTTCAAATGAAAAAAACAAGGTGACCTATTCATTGCAGTTAGCCCCATTTGTTTGCTGACCAGTGGGGCTAACTGATATATTATGCTTTTGCCGTATCCCATCGGCAAAACGGCAAAAACGTCCTTCCTGAAAGCGAAGGCTTCTAGGGCAGTCTTCTGTTCCTCTCTCAAGGAAAAAGATAAGTGTAGTTGGCTTAGCGTTTCTTCCGAAGCTAAATTGAATGGACGCGGTCCTTCGGCAGCTGCCATCTTGGCTGTTTACTTTTGGACTCCTGCGGCGCAGCGCTGTCGTCATCATGTCATCATACGCCTGCCCAGAGCCCACCTCTGTCAGATAGACTGATCTGATTGGTCCGATAGGCGATTCAACGAGCTCTGCTCGTCTGGGCCAGATCCCCGTGCAGTGCAAATTTGGATTTGCTGGGGGCGGGGCATCTGGATTTCCAGGTTAAGTGTACACTATAGTATTTATAATATTTCACTGCTTTACCATCAAACAGCCCTTTCTGGTGGGGAACTGAACTGAAACCAAACTTACTGATGTGTTCTTCAAAGCCAGCAGATGCCTTTTACAAAAACACTAGCGGGAGATTGACAGGCGGATTAGGGCGGCGTCAGCAGTGATGCAGGCGCTTAACCGGTCCATTGTGGTGAAGAGGGAGCTTAGTCAGAAAGCGAAGCTCTAGATTTACCGGTCGATCTACGTTCCAACCCTCACCTATGGTCACGAGCTCTGGGTAGTGACCGAAAGAACGAGATCGCGAGTACAAGCGGCCGAAATGAGTTTCCTCCGCAGGGTGGCTGGGCTCAGCCTTAGAGATAGGGTGAAGAGCTCGGACATCCGGGAGGGACTCGGAGTAGAGCCGCTGCTCCTCCACATCGAGAGGAGCCAGTTGAGGTGGTTCGGGCATCTGGTAAGGATGCCTTCTGGACGCCTCCCTTGGGAGGTGTTTCGGGCATGTCCAAACGGGCGGAGACCTCGGGGCCGCCCCAGGACACGCTGGAGGGATTACATCGCCCGGCTGGCCTGGGAACGCCTCGGCGTTCCCTCGGAAGAGCTGACGGAAGTGGCTGGGGAGAGGACAGTCTGGGCTTCTTTGCTGAGGCTGGTGCCCCTGCGACCTGGACCCGGATAAGCGGAGGAAGACGAGTACAAGCTAATGTTACCTTCCAGAACACGTAGTCGCTGATGTACCATTGCCTCAATCAGTTAGTTTGTGCTGTTGTGTGACTCTAGTGAATCCCAACTAACACTTTAAAACTTATTTCGGGAGATACTGGGATTGTGATACGACCCTAAGTGTTGTGTCGTAGGCAACTGGACTTGCTTGAGTTTCTTGAAGATGTTTCAGCTCTCATCCAAGACGCTTCCTCAGTTCTAACGGACTGGTGCTGCATCGCAGGCTTTAACCCTGTGTGTGTTTGAAGCCATATAGCGTGTAACAATATTCAACATTATCAAGAGAATAAACCACGTGTCCGTTCACTCTTACATTCATCACTGCCTGTTTTAGTCTCAGAAAGTCTCTGTGGCTACACTGACCATGATCTTGAGGCTTTATATTTTTCTGCTTGGTGAGCAGCAAAAATCTCAAAAATCTTTTCAGTCTGAATGTTTTTTTTACCAACCTGAATCTTTCTGGCCTGGAGGCATGAATGTTTTTGTTCCCACATTAATCAGATTTATTCAAACTTACCTTCACTTCACTCTTTTTGCCTTCTGTTCAAAAAGCATCAAACTGCAGCACTTGAGAAACATTTTAAAAGGGTGCTGATTGATTTTCTTACAGTTCAGATGTGAATGGAAATCAATGGCTGCCTGGAACTGTAGAAACATACAACTAAAACTTGAAGCACCTCAGTGTTGTCCTTAAATCATTAAAAGCTGCTTTCTGCATTTTAAAGCGTAAATATTGTTCAAACAGCAGCTAAACCAGTTTTACTGTGAATTCCTGCTCTGCTGGAATATAACACAGTCAGGAGCTTGTGTTTGTTTCTTACCTGCAGTGGTTTAGTTTCATTTAATGAAGTGTTTTTGTGATTACATTTACAAATTAAATTTACTTGTAGGTTCTGAAACAGTTAAAAATCACCAGCAGCTGATAAAGGTTTTCATCACTTAAATCAAAGTGTATTTATGTTGTTATATATTCTGAAACACAGTCACACAGATTCTTGTCTTTCCAAAGCGTTTGTTGTTTCTTCTGCCAAGATAGTGTAACCTATGACAACTCCTTCTCATACATGTAACACAGACTTCATGTAACAGCTCAGTGACTCTGTGTCAGTCAACCTGTTCCCTCATGTGATACGATGAACAGACACCACAGAACAATTGTTTCAGGTCTTGTATAGCTCACGTCCTTCTCTCCTCCTGTAGTGCTGGACTGGAGAATGACGGATCCAAACCACCCCATGAACGCTCTGATGCGTCTGAACCAGATCCACCCAGGCCTCCAGTACCGCCTGCTGTCCCAGTCTGGCCCCGTGCACGCTCCGGTCTTCACCATGTCTGTGGAGATCCAGGGAACCACCTACCAGGCCACCGGGAACTCCAAGAGAACCGCCAAGCTCCAAGTGGCCCTCAAGGTAATCAGCTGAGTTTGAACTGTTACAGGAAACTTAAAAAAATCTGGGGGCTGTAAGTTAAGATTTGGGGGATTTAGTGGAATGTAGAGGTGAGGGTTAGAAATAGCAACCAGCTGAAACTTGTTCAGCGTTCAGGAGTGAAATCGTCCGCAGAGGTCTCTTCCTCTGCAACACAAACGGACCAGGTGTCTCATTTATAAGCATTGCAGATGCACAAAAGGAGGCCTGACAGAGGCGTACGCCACTCCCCACACAACAGTTGTGACCTCTACAAAACAAACTTGACGGGAGAATGTGGCCACCTGTAGCGAATCTCTGACCCGTGCGTATGAACACATGGAGAGAGGGGAAATTGGCGTCGCAGATGGTGAGGTGGTGAAGTGAAGCCGAATTGTAGGAATTAAATGTGAGCGAGAGTTCAAACTTTCATCTTCAAATGATATCCCTGTGTCGAGGATGTTGAGAATGCTCACGATCATTTTGGCGAAGCGTGAAACAATCAGTCCAAATGCTATTGCAGTGATTCACCCATAAAGACTCATTGCTTAGCAGGCTCATTTCTATGGATTAGTGTTCATGAGGTGCATTTATGGTTGAAAGTGAGCATGTAGAGGCTGGGATATGAGACTGATCCATGAGCAGACAATTCCAAGTTGACTTGGGATTGATAAAAGAAAATTGTGCACTCTCAGGTGTACACATGGTTTTATAAATCAGAATATTTTGGCGCATGCCATTTTCTGTTTTTGTCTGCACATACAGTACATGATGGATACACTTTGAGTATGGATCCTATGCACTGTTTTATAAATGAGACCCCTGCTGAAACCAGTAAAAATAACAGGTAAGAATAAAGCAGTTTCCAATACGTATCAGTCTTTCTTCCTCCCTGTTCGGCACTTCACAGATGGCCCTTTTACCCAGCCCCTGCTAATGTGTGCTCACCTGTTTTCTCTGATAATTTAATATGTGTTCACCTCATGTCTGATCCAGACGTACAGGAGGTTTTTACAAAGGAGCTTCATTGTCCACAGAGATCTCCTCCTCTCCAATACAAACACACCAGTGGTCTCATTTCTAAAACAATGCATAGGATCCATATTAAAGATGTACGTACGGATAAAAGCCAGACAATTTTTGCAATCAGGCTTCCACCTCGCCATCGCCAATTTCCTGTTTGCAAAATGTGAATAAAAACATGGGTCAAAGTTTCTCCTTAAGTCTGTTTTTATAGATCACAACTTTTGCATGGTGGCGTACGCCTCTTTCAGGCCTCATTTTGTACGTACACATTGTTTATAAACGAGAGCCCTGGTGATTTAAATGGTAAAAACAGTGAGTAAAGCAGCTTCCAGCTAAAATTATAGCTGCTGCGCAGTGATGGGTTGGGTCCGGGCATTTTTAGGCAATTCTGAGCAACAAGCAGAAGAATTGGAAGACATTTAGGAATTTAGCAACACAATCTGCCTTTTGCATCAGCTGAGGCTTGAACTCACAACCTCTGAGACTAAGAATCAATTTCTATCTCACTGAGCTAATTAGTCAGTGACAATTCATGTGTAGCTTCACAAATTGACTAAGCCAGACGTGCAGGTTTAGCAGCCGTCCATGCGTGGAAAAGCAGATTTCAAACCACTGTAAAAAATTCAGTTATCCAAACAAAAATCTGAAAATACACATAATGCATCTAGACAGCATGGAGATGTTGGTAATTTATTTTAACAATGATTGATTTGCTCCATAAGTGAAAAACTGATGTTTAAAATTGCCATTTTTACATTGACTCCAACTGTTCACATTAGAGCAAAATTCAAAATCCTGTCAAAAATTCAGTTTTTGAGATAAAATTCTGAAATTTGCCACACATCATCTACCATGACTCTAGAATTTTGTCATTTTTTTCATGAACATTGAAGATTTATTTAGCAAGAATTTGCAAGTATGTTTACAGTACCGTTTACAGTCAAACATTTTGATGCACTGTAGGCTCAATTTTTGATAAATCAAAAATCTGAGAAACATAGTTTTTGTAGGACAGTCTGAAGATGCTCTGTAGCAAGTTTGGTGTCAATTGAGCAAAAATTGTGGGAGGAGATAGGTTTAAGAAGTTTTACAGTTTTTGAAAAAAACAGAGTGATGAACTTCATAATTTTTAATAGGTTTAAATGTACAAAAGTTTCTTCAGTATTGGGGCTACAGTTTGATGAAAGCTGTGAAGTTGTAGCACGTATAGTTGATTTGTTATGAATTTTCAAAGTTTTGAACTTCAGACGCTTGCTGTAGCGCCACCATCAGGACTATTGGCTTGAGTTTACAGCTGAGGATATCTGGCATGAGACTGGACCTTTATGTAAAGTTTGGTGAGTTTTCACCCATGGGAAGAATGATTTCTTTGGAAGATGAGGAGAAGAAGAAGAATACCTAGGATTACAATAGTGTCCGGGCAGCTGCCCGGACCCTAAATATCAGGGTTTTCCAGCAATTGCTCGTCACAGAGGGGCTGCTAACTACGGTGGATGACGTGAAAACAAAAATGTTCCCATCTAGAGTCAGTGTTTGGTTTGTCTGTTCTGGGCTACTGTAGAAACCTGATGAAGCAACAGGGTGATCTCCATAAATGATGATCCGCTCCTTATGTGGATATAAACAGCTCATTCTAATGAAGTGAAACACAATGATTCTGATTTTAAGGTGATTACACACCAAAGAAAAGATACCTTCTCTATTATATTCATGTTTTTAGCCATAATTCAAGAAGTGATGATATTATATATCCAAAAGGTCAAAGGTCAACTTCACTGTGACATCACACTGTTCTGAAAAACCCTTTTTCAGGTCATTATGCAGCGTCATATCTCAGGAACAGAAGGGGAGACATTTGGTCAGATACTGAATTGGTGACTTTAATCTTGAAACTGTGCTGATTGTATAGATCTTCTGTGTGTGAAGCATCTATGTTTTCACTGACATGGACATGAACTGTAACTGCAACTTGACTGGTTTGTGTAGGCATACAACTGCAAGGCGGTAATTCTGTTTCTTTGTTGAAGTTTAGGTGTTTAAAGATGTGACTGTGAGTGAACAGAGTGAGTGACAAAGAGACTCTTTGAAATCGATGAGTGATGAGAGAATGTTCTTTTTGTGACAAAGCTTTTATTGAACTTGTTAACTTTGACTGCTCACACTTTCTCACACGCATTTATTCATTCATTTACACATTCACACGTCAGAGCTGCCCAGTACAACCAGTCTTTGTGTTGCTGATGATGGCCACTTTGCAGCCTCACGGCAGCAGCTGTCAGGTGCCTCCCTGCCTTGCTCAAGGACGGCTCAGTCACAGATGATGGATGTGAATGTGTCGGGACGTTAGAGTTAAAGTGTGCTGATGACTTTTATAATCATGTGATGTCATCCTGACTGTTTACTGAAGGTGATGAAGTAAAGAACAGTGTGTGTGTTTTGTCATCTCGTGTTGTTTCCCCTTCAGGCGCTGCAGGCTCTGGGATTTGTGCTCGGCGGGGACGGAGACATCGACTCGCTGAGCGCGGATGAGAAGTCAGATGGCGAAGGCAAGAATGACAGGATGTCCACCAGCTCCAGCTCCACCTCCATCACCTCCTCCACAGACACACAGGAGGTGGGCAACACACACACACACACACACACACAGAGAAAAACACAGGGATAATTAACAAGTACTCATGAGGACTGGACTGGTGCACAGACGGACTGTGGCCTTTTGTGAAACAACAGATGATGTAATGGAGGTTGCTAACTTATTCAGGGTAAATACAAGAATTCTGAATTTAAAGACATTCTGCAAGACCCTTTCCACACAATTTAAGACCCCACCACCACTTTGGGTTTTAGCTGGTTACATCATCACCACATCTCAACTTACATGGACTCTACAGTGATTGTAACATAGCACAACAAAACATTGTTAACTTGTGATAAATGTGTTCGGCTACTACATACGGATTCTTTATTGGCTGCAGCTCCAGAACTTCACTACATGTACTTTTGTAACCAGCAAAGTTCATAGAAAACTGTGTCAAAATGATGCTATGAAAATATCACAGTATTGTACGTAATAAAATATGCTATGAAAATGTCAAAGTTTATAGTATTTTGCAAAAGGAAAAAAAGAAAAAAAATGTCATGGTATAGTATGTTGTTCAAAATAGCTTAAAAATGTCTTAGTATAGAATGTCATATAAAATGCCTCAAAAATTTCATGGTACAGTATGACCCTAAAAAAATGCCAGAAAAAAGTCATAGTATAGTATGTCGTTAAAACTTTTGTAAAAATGTCAGAATAATATGTCGGAAAAAAATGCCTTCAAAATGTCAAGGTATAGTATGTCATTAAAAAATTCCATGAAAATGTCGTAGTATCCACCTTATTTTCAAACACGGAAGTAAATAGTGATCAACTTCCGTTTTTTTGTGCGTGACTTCCGGTCAGCCGCTTTCCCTTACCGGAGCTAACGGTGCAAGCTAATTTATTTTCAATTTTCAGTTGTTTATGTTAGTCAATCAGTTAGTTAGTTAGTTAGTTAGTTAGTCTGTGTATTTTGTATAGATAACTGTGCCCACGTTTCCGTTATAACAGAAATTTATTCCCTCTAAACGCGAATAAATCGCACGTCAATCATAAACTATGGACCAACAAAGCACAATCTATCCCGAGTGAGACAAACTGCTTGATCCCCGTCTCCAGTGTACCAGCAGAGAACCTGCAGAACCGAATCACAGCCTCCCTACCTGAGCAGCTGAATCTGCGGCTCGCACCCTCGACACACAGACGGTGCTTCTGCATGCCTGCCAAACGTGTGCGCAACTGTGAGAAATAAATATGTGAGGTGTACGCTGCTTTTCTATCTTTTTTTCCCCTTTCTTTCTTTCTTTCTTTCTTTCTTTCTTTCTTTCTTTCTCTCTGTCAGCGACATACACTCCTAACACAGGACGGGTTGTTTTAATTGACTGAGTTGATCGTTAAGCCATAGTGATGCACGGATCGGCTCTGATAGCACCTGAATCAGCATGTACGCATCAACCATCCAGCCGTTACAACATGATTGAGCTAGCAAAGCAGTTTTGTGTTGCTATGTGTGGTATTTATTCAGTTTTGGGAAATCACGATGTCTAGAAAGCATCAGTGGCTGCAGCTGACAGGGACAGCTAACGTTAACACTAGCAGCAAAGCTAACATCAGGATCGTCATCCGTTAAAAGCCTCCCGTTGTCGGATACGACATGAAACTACTCCAGTTAGCTCAATCATGTTGTAACTAAGACATCCGCTGGAGAAAATATTTTTTTCACGGGCCACTTTGTGAGTTTAGTGAGTTATTACAGACACGGCTAACGGCTAACAGCTAACGGTTAGCCCAGCTAATCTACGATAACCATGTTATTAATTACACACAGAGAAAATACTAATGTTTGTTCAGTCATTGTGTTTATAGACTTTACAAACATCCGATTAGTCTAAACGGTGATATAGTGACGTGAAAAATGTGATATATACATATATATAGCTAAACTCAGCAAGGTAAACAACAAGGTGATTCCCATTTACACAGTGATAAGAGTGCTGGACCGGAAGTGTCGCACAAAAAAACGGAAGCTGGCTGCGTTCTGTTTTGCCCCTGTGTTTCCGTGAAAAATAAGGTGGATAGTATGTTGTTTAAAAAAAGCCTCAAAAATGTCATAGTATAGTTTGTCGTTAAAGCAGCTGTGTAGAACTTTTTACCATTAATAAAACTGCCCCTAGTTCGTATCCCCGCCCCCCACAAAAAGACAAAAAAGCCTTTCTCTATATGGCTATTTAGTGTAGCCTTGCTCGGGTCGGACACACAGCGGAAGTCAGCAGACCTGAGGCGGAAGTGATTCTGCTCGCCCGCAGTGGCCTGCAGCAATTAAACCACAGAAGAAGGAGCCGTGTTTACAGTGTTCTTCGAGTAAGCAGTACGCAACAAGCATTGCTGAACACATAACACCTAACAGTTTTACCAGAGATGTATCTATGAGGACTTGGTTGTACTTTTGATGTCATGGCGGATAACGAAGGAGCATCATGTAAAATTATCTGTGACTGTGACCATGAACACAAATATACAGCAGGCAGTTGTCCTCAGTTTATAAGAAATTCAGAGCTACACCAGAACATTATGATCAGGTCTTACTTTACTACTAATTTGTGTGTAACGTTAGCATGTTAGCATGTTTCCACTAATTACTTGGACTGACCTAACGTTAGCTGAACGTTAGTAGCATTAGCTTTGCAAGCGAAGGCTGCAGGTAACAGCTTTGCTGTGTTAGGATTATGTTATGTCTTCACTGTGTATCTTCACATAAAAGAATACTCCGACCATTTGGGAGTTATGCCCTTTCTCTATCATTTTCATACTGAGACAACATGATCGATATCTTTTTTGTGTCTGTACGTCCAGTGGCTGGGTCTCAGTGGTTAGCATTGCGCTTACAGGGGGTCAGTACGTCCTGCGCTGTGATCCGCGGAGGGATACACCGGTGAGCAGGCACAGACGTAGCTTGTAAACAAAACTCAGCTGTTTATTTAGCCTAGCAATATCTCCGGACTATAGCAGCTGCAATGGACGACTTTGAACGCGATTTTGAAGAGTTTCTTGTAGCGGACACAGACCCAGAGCCATACCTGTTTGAGCCGGAGCATACAGATGAGGAACTCCATGTGTTGGATGCTGAGCGGGCGAGAAGGGAGGCTGAATCCTCCGCTCCCATTTTGCTGCACAGAATGGAATTCGGTGCTACCATCGTTGGGGAGATATATCATCAGGAGGAAAACCGCCGCAGAGAGTGCATCACAAGGAGTGAAAACTTTGCAGCAATCACTAATCCTGGCGTGATTGAAACTTTTTTTCATGTTCCTAATATGAACTGGAAAAAACGCCCAGGCCTGCAGGAGCTGATGGACAGCTTTCAGTCGGGTGAGTAATATCGTCCATGCCGTCTCTTTGTTTGCTTTTACCGAGTGACCTAGCGTACCTGTCCCAGTGCCAGCTGCAGCTGTTGCTCACCGGTGTATCCCTCCGCGCAAGATGTACTGACCCCCTACAAGTGCCATGCTAACCGCTGTCTCAATATGAAAATGATAGAGAAAGGGCATAACTCCCAAATCATCGGAGTATTCTTTTCACATAATAATGCGGACTCAGCAGATGACTTGTTAACTGTTTATTCCTCCTTACACCGAACGCATACGGCTGCTCATTGTTTCCAGTAGTACAACAACGGTTACTACATAACCCAGAATAACTTGAGGCTCACACTACTACGGTAGCCTTAGTAGCTCAAAATACACAACAGATTAGATCAGAACAGAAACACGACAGGAGAATTTACTGAGTAATTTTGCTGTTTCCACTAATTACTTGGACTGACTTGACGTTAGTTAATCCTCTCGCTCTCCAAAACAAATGCATGCGGTAATTGCCGGCTGCAGTCAAGATTTTACGACACCAGGCTGTGGGTGTCATACTGCTTCGACCAAAGGGGCGCTATAATCAACGAAAACAAAAAGTTCCGCACAGCTGCTTTAAAATCAGCTTAAAAATGCCATAGTATAGTTTGTTTGAAAAAATGCCATAAAAATGTCATTGTATAGTATGTCGTTAAAACTTGTAAAAATGTCATAAAATGATGATATGTCTTTAAAAAATGCCTTAAAAATGTCAAGGTATAGTATGTCGAAAAAATGCCTTAAAAATGTTATGGCATTTAAAATGGCTTAAAATGACATAGTATAGTATGTTGTTAAAAATGGCTAAAAAAACCATATAGTATGTTGTAAAAACTGCCGCTAAAAATGTCATAGTATAGTATGTCGAAAAAATGCCTTAAAAATGTCATAGTATAGTACGTTGTTAAAAATGTTGTAAAAATGTCATAGAATAATATGTTGTTTAAAATGCCTTAAAAACGTCGCATTATGGTTTGTTGTTAAAACCTGCCATGAAAATGTCGTAGTATAGTATGTTGTTAAAGTACCACAAAAATTTCGTAGTAAAGCATGTTAAAAAATTGTCATAAAAATGTCAGTAAGTATTTTTAAAAGGGAATAATCTGTGATCAGCTGTCCTTTCCTTGATTTTTCTTTTTCAGATGATTTTGTTTGAATTATTTTCAAGATGCCTTAAGAGGCAACATGATTTAGTGGTTAATAACAAAAAAGTGTTTGGAGAAAATTGGATCCAGTGTGACGAAGCTGAAATTCTCAGCAATGCAAGTGAATCATCAACTTTATCTTTATAGCAACTTTCAAAGCAAGGTTACAGAGTGCTTTACAAAAACCAAGATGAAAAATAGTGATGTAGAAGTTAAAAGCAGAATAACAACAACAAAATAAAACAAAATTTAAAAAAGAGCCTTTTAAAGGATGAACTTTAATGGTCATGGTTTAGCTTTTGACAGGTCATACTGGTATCATGCAACTTGTCAGCACAAAGGAGGGATACGTGATGTGACAGAGCTTAAGGGAAATCTTGTCTTACTTTGTGGAAACATCAGCACTTTAGCACATTTAGGAATATTTGATAAACGTTTCCTCTCTCATCGTTTGTAGTCCAGAGCTCCAGGTCCCATCCTGACGGCAGGAGGTAAGAACCCAGTGATGGAGCTGAATGAGAAACGCCGCGGCCTCAAATATGAGCTGATATCAGAGAGCGGCAGCAGCTACGACAAACGCTTCATCATAGAGGTACACACACACACACACACACACACACACACACACACAACTTCATAGATTTCCTGTCTTCCTTTCAGAGGGTCTTATTAGGAATTGATGAAGGAGGGATGGCGTTTGATGTTCAGCTTCCTGCATATCAGAACATCTTCACACACTTTTAAAATGCCAGGAACGACAGCTCAACATGACACCAGGGTTATCTTGTGAAATCAAACTGACATACACTTTATAAGTTTATTTTTCACATCTACTTTGTACAAATAGAATGTTTTTGATTTCCAGTCTAAATTTCTGGATATTATTGGGCACCATGTTCTTGTATTTCTCTGAGAAGTATTTCTCTGAAGCAGTCATGATGATAAATGTGGAGCAACTTGTTCCCTGAAAAAAATTATTTGTCAAACACAAATGATGTATTTCCACTTTGTTTAGAAGACACAAAACAGGAACTGAGTAATGAGCGTGAGCAGTGATGGAACAGATAAAGAAATGAGTGCCATGAACAAAGAATCATTACATTTGATTAGCTGATGTTTTAATCCAAAGGGACTTACAATAAGTGCATTCAGCCATTACAAAACAGAAAATGAAACAATACGTTTAAATGGGAGTTGGAGAACGAAGATTACGTTTTGGATTGAAAGAAAGAGCTGTAGTGAGAAGAGGGAGACAGGGAATGATGGCTGTGGTGGATTGGGACAATATTTGCAGAGGAGAGAACTTTCAAAGAGAAGGATGTGAAGAGGTTGTCAGAGACATGAGGAATAGCTCCAAAAAGGTTCGTGGTTGAACAGTTCCTGGTGAAAATCAGGTCGAGTTAGTAAACAGCTTTGTGTGTTGGGGCAACAGTATCTCTGTCTGGATGTTGAAGTCAGATAGAAGTACAAGCCATCTTAAAGGATGTTATATATGAGGACTTGTGAACCTCCAAGAATTCCCACACATGACCTGTCAGAAAGGAGAGCAGAAAAAAATTAATTTTACTGGAAAAGTAACAGACACAGCATCAAGTGTGGACACAGTTAGCTGAGGACAGGGCTGCAGGGGTGAAAATGTTCTATGCTGTAAAACAAGGCTAAGTGAGTGCAATGGAAAGTGTAAGCATATCAGATTAGGAAAAGCAATTATTTGGTACATATGGGCAAGTTATTCCGAAACTTGTGTTATCCCATAAATATGTCATTAGAAAATTCATAGTATAATGTATATTCAGAAAAGTTAGGGTGTGCATAGTATGTTGTCACAAATCATGAAAAAAAGTTATATTATGTCCTAAAAAAAATCATTTAAAAAAAGTCATAGTATGGCATGTCGTTGAAAATGACAAAAAAAAGTCATAGTATAGTATGTCGTCCAAAATCATGAAAAAAAGTCATAGTATAGCATGTCGTCAAAAATTATGAAAAAAAGTCATAGTATAGCATGTCGTCAAAAATTATGAAAAGAAGTCATAGTATAGTATGTCGTCAAAAATTATGAAAAAAAAAATGATAGTATAGCATGTCGTCCAAAATCATGAAAAAAAGTCATAGTATAGTATGTCGTCAAAAATTATGAAAAAAAAGTGATAGTATAGCATGTGTCCAAAAT